AGAACTGGGGGGCTGGGCAGGAGGGGGAAGGAAGAACTGGGGGGCTGGGCAGGAGGGGGAAGGAAGAACTGGGGGGCTGGGCAGGAGGGGGAAGGAAGAACTGGGGGGCTGGGCAGGAGGGGGAAGGGGGCTTCCCTCACAACCTTTTATAGCCTTCTGACTCCTGAACCGCGTGACTCTTGTTATATGTAGTATCTATTTTAAATACACAAATGGATTTTAATAAAGAAAAATAAATGAAGATCCCGAGTTGGGTGTCTGGGACCCTCGTCCCCAAAGGCTCCAGGTCCCCAGCTCACCTGTCCGCAAGGCTGCCAAACACGGCAGCGCCCACCAGCACGCCGGCCATGTAGACAGACTGTGCCAGGTCGTGAAAGGTACGGGCCTCACACACCAGGTCCCACTGCAGAGGGAGAGAGGGTCACTGCAGCTTGGCCTCAGGCAGCAGCCCCCGCCCCAGCCCCCGCTGACCTCCGTCACGATGGTGGACGGGAACACACTGCAGTAGTAGACCCAGCCGTCCTTGCAGCCCTCCGTGGCCGCCCCGTGGATGGAGGTATTGGAGCTCAGGAGGGCCCACTGAAGCTCAGCAAAGCACTGGCACGTCTCAGGGGCCCTGTCCCGGTCCAGGGGCACGGTGGCCCTCAGCCAGGCCCCCGAGTCATTGGTGGCGGCCGTGGTGTGGTTGGCGGGGCCCTGGCAGTGGTGCGGGGGCATGGCGGCCGTGAAGTTCTGCAGGAAGTTGTGGCAGGCCAGCAGGCCGCAGGGCAGCTGCAGCAGCGCCGTGTAGACGAGCTGGAAGCGGCCCACACTGCCCAGGGTGTCCAGCAGGTCTGTGAAGGCCATGGCTTCAGGTCTGACCTGACCCGGCTGCCAGGGGCCTTATGTAAGGGGGCTGGGGAGGGACCCAGGAGGTGGGGGAATAGGCTGGGGACCGTGGCTCAGAGGGTCTGGTTACACCTCGTGGGAGGCCTTGGTGTCCCCAGGCCCACAGACATCCCTCCCTCCAGGCCCAGCAGGCTGGCCCCTTGCTCTTCTCTTGCTTTTTCTCCCCGCCTCTCAGTCTTTCACCTTCCAGGTTAGAAAAGCGAGGGGTCCCTGAGGGCGGCCTCACAGACCACAACCCACATCTGCAGGCCCAGACGCCCTCACCCAGGGGACCCCAGCAGCAATCGGAATACCACTACCTTCCCCTCCCCTCGGAGGCCACCTCAAAGCTCGGGTAGGACCCCCGACGCCAGCCCAGCCGAGCACAGTCCCTGTATCTGGGCTGCGGGTCGCGGTGGAGCTTAGAGCTTAGAGATCAGATAGCGGGGTGCGGTGATTAAGGTTGCTGCTACCCAACCCCCGTGAGAGGGGTGACCTGGCTACATGAGAGACACTAAGAAAAGCCCTTTAAAAATGCCCAAATAGGGCCTTCAGAAGGAAGCCCTGCTCTCCCTGGCCCCCGCTCTCTCACCAGCAGCCTCAGAGGCAGGGTTTTTTGGGGGTAGGGCCCCAAGATCATCCAGACTCACAGCCTTCCAACCCCCTCATCAAACAAAACCCAATGCAGAGAACAACTTGAGGGGTGCTGTACTGGCGAGGGAGAAGGTGGGGTCTAGAGCACCTGCCCGCCGACCCCTCACAACAGCCCAGGCTCCCAGACGTTTCGAGCTGCCCCCGACTGATGAGGACACTGAGGTCCAGCAGGACCCACCAGGAGCTTCCAGAATAGATGGCAGAAGCAAAAGGCAAGCTTGGGATGGCCTGGCCCTGGGCCCAGTGCCAGCCAGCGTCCAGGCAGCCTGCCACTTGCTGTCCCACAGGATCCCCCACCTGCCTGGGGCAGCCCCCCACCAGACTCCTTCAGCCTTTGCTCTGCAGATGCAGTTTGTGGCCCCCCCCAGCCCCTCCCATCCTGTCCCCTCCTCCACCGACTCTTATCTCTGGTAAGAAAAGTCCAGATCCCAGAGGGGGCTGGAGCGGCTTATATAAGCAGCAGGTGTCTGGGTCACAAGGGCACCTTCCGCAGAGAACCTGAAGGTGGCTTTGTGCTCGGGGAGCTCCCTGGGGGGTCGGGTTTGTGCTAAGTAAGGGTTTGGGTTTCAGCTGGCGCTTCGGAGGGCAGGAGTCTGTAGGGGATGCAGGGGTCAGGCCTCCTGGGACAGTGAGGTGGCCGATAGGACCCAGAAGGACCATGTGGGACCCCAACAGTGTGGCCTGCCCCTGCAGCCGGGGCCCTGGGCCCATGCTCCCTGCCCTGCCAGGGCCAGACACCCAGCACTCCAGCAGGGGTGCAAGCCACCAGAGCAATAGGGGAGAGATGGGGGGCCGGCGAGGTGGGGGTGATGCCGAGAGCTGTCCCTCCCAGGCAGAAACACACTCCAGAGCCAGATGGGGGGACTTTTTCCTTTTTATTTGGGGTTCCTCTGCATGGAAACATGAGACGTTTCTAGCCCATGCCCAGGTGCCTCTGGCACCCCCACAGCAGTACCTCAGTCCCTAAAGAGTTCCCTTTGAATCACCAATATAAAAAAAAGAGCGGGGGGGGGCGGCCAGACCACCCTCCTCGTGGGCAGCTTCCTGGTAGGGGGGCAGGGAGGGCGGGGAGGGCAGACACGGGGGCACACGGGGCACTGGCTTCTACACAGGAGGGCACAGATGTCCCCAGCCCTGGGGAGAGACCCCAGGTGGGAGGGGGCTCTGCACAGCCTGGATTTCCACGATCGTGCCAAGCTAGTGGTTATGGCTGAAAGTCTGACGTGAGGCCCAGTGGGTGGGGCTGGGAGTGTGGCCTCTCAAGAGCTAGACATGATGGGAGCCCCAGAGGGTAAGACAAGGGGCATCTCAGGGTTCTGGGGGTGGGGAGGCGCTGGGACTGTCAGCTCCCCCAGGAGCCCCACCCTGAGGCCGGAACAAGCGAAAGCTGCCTTCCTGCTCAGTGACGGGAGGGGCTGGGGGTCCAGCCTGAGCCCACAGCTGGCAGAGGCAGGGAAGGCCACACAGCTCGGCCCAGGCAGATGAGCTGTGGTGGCCGGGAGCCAGGGGACAGGAGGAAGGGCCGCCTCCACGCTCCGGGGAAGGCACTTGCGGCTGGCGTGGCCTCAGGTGGCTGGGGGGAGGTGTGGCTTGGCAGAAGAGAGAGAGAGGGGGCACAACAGGGAGGCTGGAGCCCCGCTTCATGCAAACATGGTCAGCTGTAACCACTGAGGGGGAAGAGAGACAGAGAGGTCAGCCGGGGACAGCAGCAATGGGCCCGCTCTGCCTCCAGGATCCCCGAGTCCAGCCTGCCAGCCCCCGGGTTCTAGAGCCACTGCCTCTTTGCCTATGAGGGCAGTTTGGGGAGGTGCCTCACGTGGGGGATGACCTTCTTTCTCCTCTGCTCTAGAGACCAGGCTGCGGCTCCCACAGAGGCCAGCAGGGCCTGGCCCTCCCTTCCCAAGCCCTGACACCCAAGCCGTCCTTCCAGAACACACGGGCCCGGCCTTGAGGAGCCACAGCTCCTGCCCAGGAAAGGACTGAAGAGCACAGGTCAGGAAAGAAAACTCAGTGGCCCCTGAGGAGCGTCTCCCCACCATGGGTCCCAGAAGGTTCCCACCTTAAACAGGTCAAAGGTCACGACTCCATCCTGATCTGTGTCCAGAGTTTTGAAAAATCCTGTGTGTCCAAGATAAGAAGGCATGAGGCTGCGGAAGGCCAGGAGTGCCCCCCTTCCCATAGCACCCCAAGCTCTCTCATACCTCACAGCCTGAAAGGGCCTCATCCCGCTACCTGAGAGCCCCCTCTGTGTTCCCACTCCCTTCCCCCACCTCCCAGCACCGGCCTTCAGGTCTCTGCCTGCAGTAGCCTTTCAGGCCGCATCTGCGTTTACCCATCTGTCCTTCCACCAGCTCACGAGAGGCGCATTTGGGGCAGAGTGAGAGGGTGGGTGCCGGATGAGGGACACTCACGGAACATGGTCTCCAGGCGCACCAGGCAGCATACGAAGTTGTCAAAGTCGACAGCCAGGTCGGGCTCTGAATAGCGAGTGATGATGAGCTCATATAGCTTCTTGTTGAGCTGGAAGCCTGGCCAGGAGAACCGAGTGAGTGAAGGCAGGGAGAGCCGAGTGAGGGTTCTAGGGGGCCCCAGGAGAGCCGAGTGAAGGCAGGGAGCGCTGAGTGAGGGTAGGGGGGCCCAGGAGAGCCGTGTGAAGGCAAGGGGGTCCAGCCTCTGCCTGAGGGACAGGGAGGCCCGGATTCCAAGCGGGGGACCAGGACTGGGCAGGGAGCTTGGGGCTTTCCCTGCTCCAGGGAGTTGCCCCATAGCTCAGGAGCATGAAGCTGTCCTGGGCAGGGCCAGGAGCTAAGAGAAGCTGGGCACCCAGTCCCAGCTCCAGAGAGAGCACCAGGGCCGAGGCAGTTCCAGGGACTGGGTGCTGGCCAAAGAGGGCCCAAGAGTCCGGGTCTGTTTGTTTTGAATGCCCTGACCTTGTCCTTGAATGGGCCGGAGCAGCTGAGCCCTGGATCACTCCCACTGGGGGCTCTGGAGCCCGGCTCCACCTCCCTGGGCTGTGTGGCCTAAGGCCAGTCACTTTTCCTCTCTGAGCCTCACTTTTCTCATGTGCACAATGGGGATAATAAAAGAGCCTATTCTCATTCGGCTGCTGTGAGGATGAAAGGAAAGAATGCTGGGAAGGCACTTAGCACACTGTAGTGTTCAGTAAGGGTGGAAAAAGGCAAAAGAGAATGGCTGCTGTCACATCACCATCGTCACCACCATCACTGCTGTCACCACCATCACTGCTGTCACCACCATTGTCAACACCACCACCATCACCACCATCAACCCCAGGGACAAGGGTGAGTGGGGTGCGCCACTGCCTCAGGTAGCTGTCAGGGAAGTGGCCTGGGGCAAGCGCAGCGGGGCAGTCCCGCCCCAGGCCCACAGGTGCCGCCATCCCTCGGGCCTCACCTGCAGACTCGATGGCCATCCGCATCTCATAGGCGCTCATGCTGCCTGACTTGTCCAGGTCAAACTTTCGGAAGATGGCCTGGGGTAGGGGCAGAGGGTGAAGGCCAGGTGGAGGTGCCAGCCCTTCCTGCCCACACCCTCTTGCCCCTCCTGCTGCCCCCAGGTTGTTGTGGGGGAAGCCTGAAAGGGGGGTCAAGGTGGGGGGCCTAGCCCATGTAGCCCACCTGGGCTGCTTAGCTGAGACTGAGGCTGCAGAGGGCAAGGGTGCCAGCCAACTTGGACCACCTACCAGGTAATGCCGGATGCGGTTCCAGAGGATGTTAAACTCCACCAGGCCCAGTTTCCCATTGCCGTCCCGCTGCGGGCCGTTAAGAAGGCAACTCTACAGCTTAGACCAGGGCTGGGGGGAGAGTGGGCCAGTGGAGAGAAGGGGAGGCTGGCTGCAGAGAGAGCAAGACGACTCAGAGGGGAGGGAAGAAGCTGCAAGAACCCCCGTGCGGTCAGCCATAGTCAGGCTGCCTTGTTCTCTGAGTCGGGGGGCAGTGGGGTGGGCTGTGGAGGGGTGCAGAAAGAGCACCAGTCTTAGGGACACTCTGGGACCCAGTCCTGACTTCACCTTTCACTTGGTGCAAGGCCCATGCCTCAGTTTCCCCCTCCCAATTGGGGCAGATGCTCCAGAAGGCGCCTGAACACCGACCCCACACAGCTCTGTCCGTTTCTCTGCTGTTCCCAGGACAGCTCCCCCAGCACCTCTCCCACGCCAACATCCTCCCACCGAAACGCCACCCGGAAAATAGCCCCAAGGATACGTCCATGAGGTTCACCATGCTGCGGCAGGACTCCAGGCTGAAGCCCTTGGTCCGCAGGTCTTTGTCTGCGAGAAAAACCATTTCCAACAATTCAACCCAGTGAGCCTCCTGTGCCTGCCCCACACTGGGGGCCAAGGCGGGACAGGGGTCAGGGAGGCAAGAGTCTGCCTCGGAGGTGTCGAATCTAGCAGAGACAGCTGTAGTATTATCATCAGAAAACAGAGCCTAGAGTATTCTAGCAATCAAGTCAGGGCTCCCGACAGCCGCATCAATACCCAGCAGGATTAGACCACAGAAACATGGAACAAGTGCTAAATAGAAATGAAAGGAATGTGGTAGAAACATAAAGCAGAGGTGGGCCGCGGCAAGGTGGGGTTTGCTGCCGGCTTTGAGGGTGAGGAGGGTTTCATAAGCAGAGGGCGGAAAGGGCGTGGCTGTGGGCCCAGGGAAGAGGAAGGTCAGGGAGGCGGCTGTCCTCAGTGTGCACACCGGGCAACGAAGCCAGCCATGCTCTGCTCCCCAGGCCTCGCCTGGAGCTGCATCTTCTGGGACGAAGGGAGCCTTTTTCTTTGCACAAAAGTGCTGTTGGCTGGCTAAGCCGTGCACCTGTAGGGTTGTGCCGCCCAGAAGGGGCCCACTTCCCATCACTCCAAGGTAGGAGCTCAGGCACGGAGAACAGGGTTCTAGCAAAACAGCAGGAGGAGTTGGGGAGGAAAATGGGGATGAGCAGGGCTCCTAAAGTCTTGAAGGCTTCTTCCGCCCTCCATGCAGCCCAAGGGCGTTGGGTTCAGCTCCACTGTGGGGACAGCAGCCTGGATCCCGGCACTTGGAGGGAACGGGGGTGGGACACAGGCATGAGGAGCTGCTGCTTGGGGACTCACGTTTGCTAATGATCCTGTTGAGGATGGTCTGCAGCTCTCTGACGCTGATCTCCAAGTCCTAGGAAAGAGGGAGGATGGCACCTGCCCCAGAAAGGCTGTCCCTCGGGGGAACCCGGCTGCCCCCGCCACGCTCTGACCTACCTCCCCTGCCAGCTGCCTGAAGAGGGCCTTGAAGCTCTCATCGATCTCCTGTTCTGAGAGCACTTGCTGGACCGGAAAAGGTGGAGAGGAAGTCAGGGGCGCTCCAGCCGTGTGCATGTGGACAGGAGCTGGAGATGGGGCTGGGCAGCCTCACTGGCTACGTGTCACATAACCTCTGAGCCTTATTCTTCTAATCGGTAAAACTCTGCCCCAGGCCCTCTGCTGCCCCCGCCCAAGACTCCTGGGCTCTCAATGAGGGGGATGCAGTAGAGCTCAGTGATGAAGACTGAGGGTTAAGGTCCTTGCTGCGCAACCTTGGGCAGGTTCTTTGACCTCTCTGAACTTGAACTTCCCCTTTGTAGAGGGAGATGGTGACAGCACCCCAGCAGGGTTGTCGTGGGAAGGAAATGGGATGCAGGAAAAGTGCTCAGCATGGAGCCCGCACACCATGAGCGCTTAGGGAGCTGTGCACCATGACGACCACAAAGGCCTCTGCAAACTGTCAAGTGCTAGGCAAATGCCCAGCTGCCATGGAGTCAATTCCAACTCATGGTGACCCCATGTGTGTTAGAGTAGAACCACGCTCCACAGCGTTTTCAATGGCTGATTTTTTGGAAGTAGATTGCCAGGCCTTTCTTCTGAGGTGCCTCTAAGTGGACTCCAACCTCCAGCCTTTCGGTTAGCAGCCGAGTGCATTCACCTTTGCACCACTATTAGTATTACTCTTACTACTCCTGCCAGGAGGGGCTGTGTCCTGCTGGCCGGGGGCCCAGGGGGCAGAACACCAGGTCCCCATCACACCCCTGGTGACACGGGGTGAGGGAGGGAGGAGGGGGCCACACACCTCATCAGGGAGATTGGCCTGGACCTGGTCATCCATCTCCCTGTGGAGAGGAGAAGGAAGTGCGGGTCAGAGCGGGGAGGGGCCGGAGCTTGAGAGGAGGGCAGGAGGGGCAGGGCCAGGGAGGGGCGGGGCCGGGGTTGGGGAGCTCTTGGACTGGGGAACTGGGGAGCAGCCACCAGCCGTGACTCACTCTGTCTCTGCGCTCTTCTCCGAGAAGACGCGTAGCACGAAGTCGCCCTCCTTGTTGGGCTCAAAGGTGGAGGGTACCACCACGTACTCCCCGGGCGGCAGGCGGAAGCGGGTGCTGACCTCCCGCAGGTTGATGAACTGCTCTGAGCGGGCTCTCGACGCGTTGGCCAGGAAGAACTCCCGCTTCAGGTGCACGGCTGACTGGCCCACCAGCTGGCAGGGGAAGGTGGGAGTGGGTGCTGCAGCTGCTCAGCCCACCTGCAGGAGCCTCCCCCACTCCCAGACTCTGGGCCCCAAACACTGGCCAAGGGGCTGGAGACTTGGGTCATGGCTCAGCTGCCGGGAGGCTACATGAACCTGATGTATCATTTTGCCTCGGTTTCCTCATCTGTAAGATGGGGTGATAAAGCCAGCCCTATCTACAGCACAGGGTGGAAAGGAGGAGCAGCTTCAATGCCCAACAAGGCATGTATTGCACCATTTAAATAACTCTGTCAATATTATCACATGGTATCCTTTTTTAAATTCTACTTGGAGTTTTCTGCGTATCAGACACTGCAAACACTTTACATGTGGTACCTGACTTAATGTTGCTAGAAAGTGACATCGTGTTTGGTAAACGAGAGGGTTAGTGAGACAGGAGGAACCCCGGAAAGCATGGCCCCTGGACCGTCAACCCAGAACTAAAACCATTCCCGACGCCAACTCTTCAGACAAAGATTAAACTGAACTATGGGACATAAAATGATACTCGTGAAGAGTGTGCCTCTTAGCTCAAGTAGACACATGAGACTAAATGGGCAGCTCCTGTCCGGAGGTGAGATGAGAAGGCAGAGCGGGTCAGGAGCTGGTTGAATGGACACGGGAAATCCGGGGTGGAAAGGAGGAGTGTGCTGTCACAGTATAGGGAGAGCAACTAGGGTCACATAACA